TATCTGTGCCAGTTTTCCTGGGGAAGCGTAGGCGGATGGCAGGCTGGTTTTGAGAGGTGGACTGGGCTGTGCTCACCACTCTCCGAGTCTCCCACAGTGGTGGTGGTGGGGGGCGGGGGGGGGGGGGGGGGGGGCGGTGCAGAGGAGGTGGTTGCTGCTGTTCAGCCTTTGCTCCAGACGAATCCCGCTTCTCCCTGCGCTGGACCCGGGGAGGTCAGGCCTTCCCACTGACAAAGCCTCACCGACCATTCCCGATCTCCAGCGGAGACACTTCGGAATTACCTCCAATGGTTTCCCCTGACACTGACTATCCATGTCCCCATCCAGGTGCCTTTTAAATGTTGTACCAGCCTCCTCCAGCAGCTCGTTCCACACACACTCTGCATGAAAAGTTGCCCCTCAGGTCCCTTTCCCCCTCTCACCTTAACCCTACGCCCCTCTAGTTTTGGTCTCCCCTACCCCAGGAAAAACTATTCCCCCTATCCATGCCCCTCGCGACTTTATAAACCTCTATAAGGGCACCCCCTCAGCCTCCGACGCTCCAGGGAAAGCAGCCCCAGCCTCTCTCTGTTGCTCCAACATCCCTGTAAATCTTTTCTGCGCCCCTTTCCAGTTTAAGGACACGAGGACGAGTACGTACCTCAACCTTGTGCTGGTGCTGCTCCTCCACCTCCACCTCCTCCTCCTCCTCCTCCTCCTCTTCGTCCTCCACAACGGCTTCCTCCTGAACAGGGGGGTCTGGCTTGATTTTTCTCTGCGAACGAGCCAAAGATGGGAGGGAGACGGTGAGAGAGACTTGGAGAGTCGCATAGACACCCGGGGAGCGCGCACCTGGACCGTGCAGGCAATTCGACTGGGCGAGGCTTTGGCTCGGCCAAGAGTTCGGGCTCAGCCACACACAGGGTAAGGAGGAGACCAACAGAACGCGGCTGATTGCAGTGCAGGCCATTCGGCCCACAGCACCAGCGAGATAGAGGTGGGGAGGAGTGGGTTGGGAGGGTTAGACTGGGGCAAAAACGATCAGAGGGAGAGCAGTGTGAGGCTTGCCCTGGGGCAGGAGAGAAATATTTCCTCACCGGAAGCTTCTTCGCCACAGTTTGAGTCTCAGCCTTGACTTTCTTCTGTAAGAGAGAGAGAAAGAATCAATCTGATAATTCACCAGCTCCACAGTTACCCGCTCCCCTCGGCGCCGACCCTCAGACAGCGCCCGCTCGCCTCGGCGCCGACCCTCAGACAGCGCCCGCTCCCCTCGGCGCCGACCCTCAGACAGCGCCCGCTCCCCTCGGCGCCGACCCTCAGACAGCGCCCGCTCCCCTCGGCGCCGACCCTCAGACAGCGCCCGCTCCCCTCGGCGCCGACCCTCAGACAGCGCCCGCTCGCCTCGGCGCCGACCCTCAGACAGCGCCCGCTCCCCTCGGCGCCGACCCTCAGACAGCGCCCGCTC